GTAGAACAGGGACTTGGAGTTCCAGCCTAGCAACCTTGAGCCAACTGGGAACTGCTCACTCGCCTAAGGCCTCTGTCCTGTGGGCCAAAGCCCATCTCCTCTCTTCTATATATCTCTTCTTCAGGGGGTCACAGCAGAAGCGGGTCTGCTTGGCTCTCCTGGAGGACCCCGGCCAAGAGGAGGAAAGCCAGGTTTCTGGGCCTTTGTCCTTCCTGTGCAAATAGAATGAGCTCATCTCCAGCGCTCTTTGCATCCACTTCTGGTGAGCCTTCCCCATCCAAGCCTGGCTCCCTGGACAGGACCCTTCCTTTCCGCCCCCACCCCATCTCACTCTGTCACCCAGGCTGGAGTGCAATGGTGCGATCTTGGCTCACTGCAACCTCCATCTCCTAGGCTCAAGCAATTCTCGTGCCTCAGCCTCTTGAGTAATTGGGATTACAGGTGCATGCCACCATGCTTAGCTAATTTTTGTATTTTTAGCAGAGATGGGGTTTTGCCACGTTGGCCAGGCTGGTCTTGAACTCCTAGCCTCAGGTGATCCGCCTGCCTCAGCCTCCCAAAGCGCTGGGATTACAGGCGTGAGCCACCATGCCTGGCTGGGCCCTTCCTTTTGTCTACAGGCCCTGGGAGTACAGCCTGCTGACATCTTCCTTGAAATCTCACACCACCACTTTCTCTTTTGGGGTCAGCCTCTCCCCCATGCCTGGCATTTTTTCAACAGTTCTCTGCTTTTCTTTCCTCTCCAGAGACAGGCCCACAGAAGCCTTTCTCGAGAACTCCGAGGACTCTCATGACTTTTTTGTTCTTGTTTTTTTTTTTGAGATGGAGTCTTGCTTTGTCGCCAGGCTGGAGTACAATGGCCTAACCTTGGCTCACGGTAACCTCCGCCTCCCAGGTTCAAGCAATTCTCCTGCGTCAGCCTTCCTAGTACCTGGGATTACAGGCACCTACCACCATACCTGGCTAATTTTTGTATTTTTAGTAGAGATAGGTTTTCACCATGTTGGCCAGGCTGGTCTCAAACTCCTGAGCTTAGGTGATCCACCTGCTTCAGCCTCCCAAAGTGCTGGGGTTATAGGCATGAACCACTATGCCTGGCTTTTTTTTTTTTCTTCTTTTTTTTGAGACAGGGTCTCTGTCTGTCGCCCAGGCTGGAGTGTAGTGGCACAATCTTGGCTCACTACAACCTCTGCCTCCTGGGTTCAAGCGATTCTTCTACGTCAGCCTCCCAAGTAGCTGGGATTAGGGGCACTGGCCACCATGCCTGGCTAAGTTTTTATATTTTTAGTAGAGACGGGGTTTCACCATGTTGGCCAGGCTGGTCTCAAATTCCTGGCCTCAAGTGATCGCCTGCTTCAGCCTCCCAAAGTGCTGGGATTACAGGCGTGAGCCACTGCATCTGGCCTCTCATGACTTTTGAGAGGGACTGAGCAACCCTCCACCTGGCCCAGTGGCTGTAGCCTAGATGTCAGCCAGGGGCAACCTGCTCCCTAAAACCTATATAAGATGCTTCTTTCTCCCCACTCAGGAAAAGCCCTGGGCAGGCTGTCCACCTGCACGACTTCCAGTGGGTCGGGTGTCCTCGTGGCCACCTCTGGTTCTGGTTTCGCTTTCAGCCAAAGTCTCGTTCTTGCCTCCGTGTCTGCTGTCTGTTCTTTACCTATACCCTGCCTCAGGCCCAAAATGGGAGACACAAGACTTGCTTAAAGTTTCCTCTAAACCAGCTCTAAACAGAAGGCTCTTAGGTGTGGCAGACCTTTTCTTTTTTCTCCAATTTTTATAAAGCAATGACCTGTTAAAGCACTCAGCAGGACCAATCTCTGCAAGACCTTTCCTTAGGAGGAAGTTCTGTTATGGGACAAAGATGTCCTCAATCACTGTTCCTGACTTCGGGCTCCTGAGTCTTATCACCCGAAGGTCTGGGTTTGTCTGGCCTCCTTTGACTCCTGCTCCCCATTCCTTCATCCCCAACTCCCACTTTCTTTGATGACCACTACTAGCACTGCTGCCCCCGCCACCTTAAAGCCTCCTTGCCAGCAAGGCTTTGTTTGAGAGGCCACCTGGGCAGGACAGCAAGTTAAGCTCATTAATGAGGCTCTGGGTCCTCACAGCTCTGTAATTTGCATTTCTGCACCTCCCCAGTCTGAGTGACACAGGGGACTGACCAACAATGGGTATTTCTAGCCTCTGCCCATGCCTCAGAAGCCCAGCACAGCTCCCAGTGTCTCCTAGCACATAGGCACTGGCTAAACATTGGATGGTCCAGCTCAGCTTTGTGCCCTAGGGGCTCTGTCCACAATTATACAATGGAAATGTCAGAGGGCTCAAGGCCCTTTAGACCTCCTCATTCATTTGATAAGTGTTTGTTGCACATCCATTTTGTGTTAGAAACCAGCTAAGTAATGGGGCACAAAGATAAAAAACAGACAAATTTGTGGTTTCTGCCCTGATGGAGTTGACACACTAGTGTGAGAGTCAAATACTGATCATATAATCTCAAAGACAAATGTAAAATTGGCCAGGTGAGGTGGCTCACACCTATAATTTCAGTCACTTTGGGAGGCCAAGGCAGAAGGATTGCTTGAGCCCAGGAGTTTAAGACTAGCCTGGGAAACAGAGTAAGACCCTGTCTCTACATACAATAAAAAAAAAAATTAACTGGGGGCGGGGCACGGAGGCTCACACCTGTAATCCCAGCATTTTGGGAGGCCAAGGTGGGTGGATCACCTAAGGTCAGGAGTTCAAGACCAGCTTGACCAATATGGTGAAACCCCACCTCTACTAAAAATATGAAAATTGGCCGGGCCTGGTGGCATGTGCCTGGAGTCCCAACTACTCAGGAGGCTGAGACAGGAGAATTGCTTGAACCCAGGAGGCAGAGGTTGCAGTGAGCTGAGGTTGTGCCATTGCACCCCAGTCTGGGCAACAGAGCGAGACTCCATCTCAAAAAACAAACAAACAAAGATAAAAAATAAATTAACTGGGTGTGGTGGCACATGCCTGTGGTCCCAGCTACTCGGGAGGCTGAGGTGGGAGGATCGCTTGAGCCCAGGAGGCCTAGGCTGTGGTGAGGCATGATTGTGCCACTGCACTCAAGCCTGGGTGATAGAGCAAGACCTCATCTCATAAGACCCAAAAAACAAAACAGAGTTAAAATTTGTTAGTAACGGTCATTATTGCTACGAGGGAGAGAGTTGGGGTACAATATAGGTGTCTATCCCCCTAATAGGGGGACTCTTGGGGTGGGGAGTGCTTCAACTAGGAAGCAAAGTTTAACAGAGATATGTGGAATCTGGCTGCTCCCTACCTATGTGAGAATTGTTAGTTCCCTTGGTTTCTGTGACAGCACCCTGTTTTCCATTCTTTGACCACTCGTTTTTTAAGTGCTATTTTTTCTTTTTTTATATACAGATTATATACAATAGGGATAATCTGTTCCTTGAAAGCCTGGTAGAATTGGATTGTTTGTGTGTGTATGTGTATTTCAAGCGTAGGTGTTTCACTGCTGCCTCTCTCTGTCACCCAGGCTGGAGTGCAGTGGCACGATCTTGGCTCACTGCAACCTCCACCTCCTGAGTGGCTGGGATTACAAGTGTGCACCACCACCCTTGGCTAATTTTTGTATTGTTAGTAGGGGTTTTGCCACATTGGCCAGGCTGGTCTTGAACTCTTGACCTCAAGCGATCCACCCACCTTGGCCTCCCAAATTCCTGGGATTACAGGCGTGAGCCACCGCACCCGGCATACTTTGTCATTCTTTTTCTAATTTATTGGATGCTTGATTAATTAATTCAGAAACTTCTTTTCTAATATATGCATTTAAGGCTATAAACTTCCCTTGAAAATCTACTTTAGCTCCGTCTCATAAGCTTTGCTATATTGTTTTCTTCGTTATGGTCGATTTACTTTTCCCATTATTATTCACTTTTTACATCTATTTCATTTATAAATGCACTAAGAATTTTTCAGATCTGTGGGGCTTAACTTTTTGTTGTTTATTATTTCAGTTTTAAATATATTATGGTCAGAGCATTCAGTCTGTCTGTGTAGCATGGCGGGCAGAACGTTGGCCTCCCGAGGACATCTACGCCCCTGGAACTGCATGTAAGGTTACATGGCAAAGGGGCGTTATGGCTGCTGATGGCATCAAGGTTGGCCTTGAGATGGGTGATTATTCTGCATTATCCAGGTAGACCCAGTGTAATCACAAGGATTCTTGTAAGTGGAAGAGAGAGACAGAGGAGGGACAGCCAGAGAGGTGGCCGCGTGAGAAGGATCAGGGATGTTGCTGACCTTGAATCTGGAAGAAGAGGGCCAGGAGCCTTGGTACATGGGCGGCCTCCAGAAGCTGGGAGGGGCAAGGAGACGGATTTGCCCCTAGACGCTCCAGAGGCAGTTGGACCTGCCAACACTGATTGTAGCCTGGTGAGGCCCATTTTAGACTTCTGACCTGCAGAGCTGTGACATAATACATCAGGGTTGTCTTCAACCACTAAGTTTTTGTTAATGTGTTGTAGCAGCCAAAGAAAACAAACACATATGAATCCTCTGGCATTTGTTTGAAATTTGCTCTGTGGCCTAGTATGTGGTTGTAAATGTTTCATCTGTGCCTGAAAAAAATGTATATTTCTAATTCAGCGGTCTCTGTTTTTTTAAAAATTTTGCACACCATCAATAAAACGATTTTCAACATGTATCCCAAAATATACAATGTTTTAAATAAATGAATCATGTATACTCAGATAGGTTCTATATAAGTATATGCAGACATTCTGAAGGATGAGATAGAATTACACAGCACATATAGAAACATAATAAGGATGAGATTGGCTAGATGCAGTGACCCATGCTGTCATCCCAGCACTTTGGGAAGCCGGGGTGGGAGGATTGCGTGAGCTCAGGAGTTTGAGACCCGTGTGAGCAACAACAACAACAAATAATAAAACTAAAATAAAAAGAATGAGACAAAGATAGGAAAAACGATATTTAAAGATACTGCAAGCTTTGCGCAGTGGCAGTATTGTAGCCAATGAGGTTTATCCGAGGTGCGATTATTGCTAGTTGAAAACTTTTCCCAACACCCCGCCATGATGACTTGAAATATAGTCAGCATTGGCAATTTTTGGCAGTTTCTACGTGCACTGAATTAAAAAAAAATTGCATTTACTTATGTGCAACATAAAAGATCTAGTTGCTCTCATTAAAAAATATAATAGGTAACAACATTTTCTGCAATATACTAAAACATTAATAGTAATCAATTTAGCAAGAATATGATTTAATGTGTTTATTATTTAAAAAAATCTTTCTTCAACACTTTATGTATAGTAATCTGGGTCTAAGTACAAATATTTAATTTTTTTTAATTGCAAGCCCACAACGAATATCATATATTTAATTTTTATGACTGACATAGATGAAAAAGTTTCTCAGCCAGGGGCAGTGGCTCATGCCTGTAATCCCGCCACTTTGGGAGGCCGAGGTGGGTAGATCACCTGAGGTCAGGAGTTCAAGACCAGCCCTAACCAATGTGGAGAAACCTCGTCTCTACTAAAAATACAAAATTAGCTGGACATGGTGGCGCATGCCCATAATCCCAGCTACTTGGGAGGCTGAGGCAGGAGAGTTGCTTGAATCTGGGAGGCGGAGGTGAGCCGAGATTGCACCATTGCACTCCAGCCTGGGCAACAAGAACAAAACTCCATTTCAAAAAAACTAAAAAGGTTCTCTAGGTCAAACTGTTTCCAGTGTGTTTTCTAATTTTGAATCAAGCGTTCATCTTCAAGCCCGCCACAGTGGCTCACACCTGTAATCTCAGCACTTTGGGAGGCTGAGGCGGGAGGATGGCTTGAGGCTAGGAGTTTGAGACCAGCCTGAGTAACAGAGTGAGACCCCACTGTACTTCAGTGCTGGTGACAGAGTGTGACCCCATCTCCATTAAAGAGAGACTGGGAGAGTGCGCGTGAGAGACAGGGAAAGAAAGTGTGGCAACACCAGCTCAACTAGGCCTACAAAACGCTACATCCCCCATCATAGAAGAACTCATTGCCTTCCATGACCACACCCTTATAATTATTTTCCTAATTAGCTCATTAGTCCTATATATTATCTCTTTAATGCTTACTGCAAAACTAACTCACACTAGCACTATAAATGCTCAAGAAATCGAAATAATCTGAACTATCCTACCCGCAATTATTCTTATGATAATTGCCCTCCCATCCCTGCGCATTTTATATATAACAGACGAATTTAATAAACCCTACCTAACCCTTAAAGCAATTGGCCACCAATGGTACCGAAGCCATGAATACTCGGACTATGAGGACCTGGCCTTTGACTTATATTATACCAACATATTTCCTCGAGCCAGGAGAATTCCGACTTCTTGAAGTAGATAATCGAACAACCTTACCAATAGAAGCAGATATCCGTATATTAATCTCATCACAAGACGTTCTACACTCATGAGCCGTCCTATCAGTAGGCGTTAAAGCGGATGCAATCCCAGGCTGCTTAAATCAAGCCATACTAGCCTCAATACGGCCAGGACTATTTTACGGACAATGCTCAGAAATTTGTGGGTCAAACCACAGCTTTATAACTATTGTTCTAGAATTTATTTACTTCCAAGATTTCGAAGTATGAGCCTCATGCTTATATATTGTATCACTGTAAAGCTATTCAGCATTAACCTTTTAAGTTAAAGACAGGGAGAACCTCTCTCTACAGTGAATGCCTCAACTAGATATCTCACCATGACCAATGGTGATTCTATCAATAGTTGTAACTCTATTTTATGCTATTCAACTAAAAATGCTAAATTTTTTTTTTTTTGAGTCGGGGTTTCGCTCTTGTTGCCCAGGCTGGAGTGCAATGGCGCAATCTCGGCTCACCACAACCTCCGCCTCCTAGGTTCAGGCAATTCTCCTGCCTCAGCCTCCTGAGTAGCTGGGATTACAGGCACACACCACCATGCCCAGCTAATTTTTTTTTTTGTATTTTTAGTAGAGACGGGGTTTCACTATGTTGACCAGGATGGTCTCGATCTCTTGACCTCGTGATCCACCCGCCTCGGCCTCCCAAAGTGCTGGGATTACAGGCGTGAGCCACCGCGCCCAGCCTAAAAATGCTAAATTTTATTTTCCACATTACCCCACTATCAAAATTAACTAAAACACAAAACCAAAAAACAACTTGAGAATTAAAATGAACCAAAATCTATTTGCCTCTTTTAGCATGCCTATAATCCTGGGAATCTCCCTAGTAGTATTAATTATTCTATTTCCCACCACACTAATTATATCCTCTAATAACCTAAACAACAACCGATTTTCTTCCCTCCAACAATGACTAATCCAACTTATACTAAAACAAATAATGGTAACCCACACCACCAAAGGACGAACCTGATCCCTTATACTTCTAACCCTAATTACTTTTATTGCCCTAAGTAATCTTCTCGGACTTACACCCTACGCATTTACACCTACCACCCAGCTATCAATAAACCTAGGCATGGCAATTCCTCTATGAGCAGCAACCGTACTCATAGGGTTCCGATTTAAAACAAAAGCGTCCCTTGCCCATTTCTTTTTTTTTTTTTTTT